TGTTCAGTCTTGAAAAGAAAAGACTCTGGGGAGCCCTACTATCTGCCTTCCAATACCTGAAGGGAGCCTACAGGAAGGCTGGGGAGGGACTTTTTACAAGAGTGTCCACTGATAGGACAAGGGGAAATGGGTTTAAGTTGAAAGAGAATAAATTTAGATTGAGTCTTAGAAATAAATTCTTCAGTACGAGGGTGGCAAGACTTTGGAATAAATTGCCCAGAGAAGTTGTGGATGCCGCCTCCCTGGAAGTGTTCAAGGCCAAGCTGGACAGAGCCTTGAGTAGCCTGATCTAGTTCAGAGGCTTTCCTGCCTATGACAGGGCGGTTGGATTAGATGATCTTCAAGGTCCTTTCCAACTTAAGCCATTCTGTGATTCTATGATTCTGTGATCATAGATCACCTGAAAGCTCTTTCTGGAGAGGCATGGCTCACATAAGCATACATCTTCTGCGGAGCAAACTCAGAAAGTTTGAGTGGTTTTTATCAGTCAGTGTAGCTCTAGTCCACACCTCCAAACTCATTTTCTTAACATTTTCTAGCATTTTGAATGTTAAATGAATGTGTTCAGTAAAGACATGGAGGGTCAGAATTGGTTTTGTGTTATTTTAGGCACATCATATTTGTCAATACTCTTGACTTAGATGACAGTTAGATCACATTTTATGACAAATTAATGCAGAACACCATGAAATTCCAAAACGTTCACATACTTTTCCTTACAACTGCATATATATAACCTCTACCGTCAGAGTGGTTCCAAAGAATGTTTATCAATATGGTCGTAGGCTATTTATATATATAAAGAGCAGAATACAGCCTGTCAGTGTCTCAGCACTTCTGTTTCCAACCAATTTAAAAACTAAAATAAAAATAAAAAATGAAAGCCACAAGACTCAGCTGCCAGCCTGCCTGGCTGATGTTTTCACTGAGGGCACATTTCATACATGACAGCGTTGACCCGCATAGGCTGGAGGTGCAGGAGTGAAAAACAGGCCATAAAATTCCACCTGACTTGTCAGATGCTGACCCTTGCCCAGAGACCCTCTTCATCCTCGGGTGGTCGTTGCCCTGGTTACACTACCCTTGCAGATGTTTACTGCTATCCCCCCCAGCTCTGCATTCGGATCTTGCCAACCTAAGAGGGAAAAGCATGAATCTGAAGCTGATTTTCCTGAGTTTTCTCTGTTGAAGATGCAAGAAGGAACTCCTCAGGGAGTTCCTGTCCCAGATCTGCTGGAATGGGACCTGCTGTAACTCTATGACATCCAAGATCTTTGCTGCATTTCTTCACTTCCAGGTGAACCTACACACACCAGTGCATATGGCACAAGTACCTGTGCAGAGCCATCTAAAGCAGTTAGTTAGTTCCTGGAGTTAGAGATGCTGCTGAAAAGACACCTTGTTCCTTAGTGTCTTGGAAACCAAGGCAATCTCTGCAGGGACTAGAAAAAAGTCATAAGAGTTTGATTTTTGTAGCATTTATCTTTGTTTAGAGCTTTGTCTCTGCTTAGAGGAGAGTAATAACGAGTCTATCTTGTAATAAGCTGATATTACTCATGTGAAGTGGAGGTGAAAAAGCTGAATATGATACATGTTTTTAACTCTAAAAATTTTCAGGAGGAGGAGGGGTGCAGTTCAGAAGGCTTCTTTGATGAGTATTACAAAATAAATAGGAATAACTCAGGCTTTTTCTATGACAAAAAATAATCTCTCTGCTTTAAAAAATATAGGAAAGAGATCTGGAAAATAGGACTTTTCCATCTATCCCGCTCTCTGCCGCTCATATTTCATACCTTTGTACCCATGATTCAGTCCTTCTCCAACCCATTTCTTTATCAACACAGTTTCCAAAGTGTTAACAAGAACTTAATGATCCTTAAAGCCCACGTGTCACAAAGAATACCAAAGTTCACTACATTATTAAGATAAGAGATGAACTATTGTTCCTGTAACAGTTAAACATATAAGCTGAAAAAGATCATTTTACTTCATTCCATATTTGAAATTAGGATTCCCTGGATGAAAACAAACAAACAACCCATAAAATATATAATTTTCTGGGAGGGTTATGCTGAAAATATTTTATGTTAGGCGAGATGTGCTTAGCATTGGTTATAATAGCATTTTATTAACATCTGAAATAATTGGATGAAGGATGTTTAATAAAAAGTCAACACGTTTCCAGTTCAATACTTCAACGATACTTTGGGGTTTTGCTTAGTTTTTTGAAATAATATGAAGATAATACATTTATTAGTTTTTAAAAGCAGAATATTTCTGTTTGTGGAAAAAATATCAGTCTAGAAAATATTATTACTCATTTAATATGCCCTCCTCATGGCACTTAGCTGTGTTTTACAACACAATCAAGTGTCATATTTCCTAAATGACATCGTAATTTCTAAAATACCCTTTCTTTAACGAAGCTGAAGAAATTGACAAAGGCAGGTATTATACACTTTATTTACAAAAAAAAATGGATACCCTCAGAAGCATAAACTTCCTGTTTAAAAAAAATAGTATGAATTACATTTCCTAGATAACTTTTAATTACCTTCTCTGCCTTTTCTGGAGCAGTGGTGATGAACTTCAGCCTTGTATCTGCTGTGACTGCTCTTTCTGGAGGCTTATCAGTGCTAGAGAATACTTACTTTCTGCTTCATGGGGAGAGCATGGATTTCTAAGACAAGGAGAACTTTTCAGGACCGCTGAAGCAAAATGTTCAGAAAGTCTCACTGTTCAGAAAGTCTCGCTGTTCAGAAAGTCTCGCTGTTCAGAAAGTCTCATGGACGATGCCCAGTATATTCAGATGTGCTATCCTTAAATGTGTGGTCATCGCATTTGATCATGCCTGTGCCCTTATTTGGAACAATTTGGAATTTTTCAAAACATGCCACATTCATTTTCAGAAAAAAATGAAAGCAGGAGGTAAATCTGACCACACTTCTTAAACCAGTTTATTTAAAATTAAACAAAAAAATTTATTAGAACCAGAGATGGTAAAACATACAAATATATTTATTCAGAGAATGGAATAAAGAAATATGTTTTTTAAAAATCACCTATCTAAATTTCTCAGGCTTTTTTTTTCTCAGACAGGAGAGAATGGGATGAGTCAGTATAACTATTCCCATTCTTTAGGCAAGAGCTCACTACAGTGGGCCTCGCCACTTTGCTGAGAGTCATGAAGTGGGAATTATTACTTGCACTTCATGCACCGATTGTGCTTAAGCCACCAAACCCTTCCTTTCCTCAAGGTACGTTCCTCTTCTTCTCACTTCAACATCCACAAAGGTCTCAAGCTGTGAAGCTCTAGTTACTTCACTGGGACTATTTTTCCCACAGTCAATGCAGAAGTTTTCTTCCTGATATTCATTCTGAATATAATTTTATATATGATATGGTATAAGAGAAGCCACTTAGACAGGAAAGTCTTTTCAGTGGTGACCTTGAAATAAAATCCCATGTTGATTTGTGCAATGCAAAGAATTTTATGAGTGACAGACCAGAAGGATAGTGTGCCTTTCTGAACAAAAATTCTTTTAATAAGTCGTCACAAAAGGTGTGAAATAGCAAATGTTGTAATAGTAAATTAATGCTTTGTCGACTGCACATGCAGTGCAAATTCTTTACATTTCAGAGGAATTGTCTCTGCCTCCACTCAGATGCAAAACATAATAATAAAACAATCAGGATCTAAAACTGCTTGGTAGATTCCATCAGAAACATCACACAACACAAGCTGATGCACAACCTGGAAAATGCAGATATTCCTATACACTGTGTTATAAGATTTTCTTGAAGGAGGCTGAGATTTTTACTTTACCTAATGAGCATCTGTCTGCATTCTTCAGTCTTCCAAGTAGTTCTCTTTCAGCTCACAGTGTTTCTGCTAACTGCTATACCGATTTAAGAATGTGCTCTTTGCTTATTTATAAGTAATATGCAATGAATAATGTCAGTCACTGCTTGCTTTTGAATGTATCAAGGCTCTGGCTGAGGTCATGAGGAATCTCAGAGATACCTAATGAAGAGTTTCAGTCAATATATGCAATCACCATATCTGAAAGCTTTTTTACGTAGTTGACGGAAACAGATTGCTGAATACCTTGATTTCTGTGAAAATTTCTCCTGCACACAACAGACCTACATTGCCATGCCAGTGAACAAGCTATCAGTTCCAGTGCCATATCAGGACAACGAAAACAAGCTCAGTTTATATCAGCAGTGTGAGCAGTACTAGGAGATTATTTATTAAATCACATTGTGCTAAAACAGAGAGGCACTGATTAAAATTGCTCTCTTATGATCTCTTATCTTTACAGCTCTCCCTGAATGTACTATGTACTAATACTTTGGTAAGAGTTGCCATATATATGACTTTAAATCTTACTCCATCTGATTACTGACATGGCTATGAGGAGGTGTCCAGACAGGGTCTTCATGGCTCTAACCAGGAGTAAGTACAACTGTGCCAAACTGAGTGCTGTCCACGTAAACGTTGCCAACAAATAGTAGTGCAGTAGGACAGCCATGGTCATGCACCAGGAGTCTGTGGGAGGACCTACGTCAGATGTGAGTAAGGTGTTGCGGATTCTATCATAAGGAAAGTATTGCTGGTTATAGTTGATGGTATTGCTGCTGTCATTCCTGGCATTCTAGTTTTCAATTCCAGAGATGAAGATAATGTTAAAAGTGAGTATAAAGAAGCAGAGATGTACTAACATCCTGTTAGACATTACTTTTGAGTTTTCCTATTGGTAGAAATATATTTATGAAAAAAAATAGAAACGTAGAGCAAAATACGAAACTGTAAAATATTTCCTCATTTCCATTTACAGTAAATGCAAGCTAGAGTTTGCAGTCTTTAATACAGAGAGAACAAAACAATGAGGTGTTGCAGAATTTTACACCATCATTACTCTCGGACAACTTAAATCCATCAGTTTTGTCTGATTTTAGCTGAAATGGACAATACATGGCACCTTTTCAGACTGCTCCTTTTCCAACAGCACTTGGGATACATTATTTTTTCCACTCTGCTCTGTAGAATCCTTTTCTTGAATGTTAAAAGGTGGAAAGTATTTCTAAACAGTCTTCGAGGTACAAGAGAAGAATAAACCTCCACTTCCAAATGCTTTTATAAATGCATTTAAAAGGCAGAATCTGGAAGCTCCTACAGTCTTAAATACATTGATCTGGGTGGAATTGCTCCAAATCTACATTAGTGAAAGCAGGATGAGAAACACACATTCATTTACGATAACTACAACTCCATTGGCATGACTCCGCTCCTTGTTCAAAGGGGGATCACGTGACACATTAATCACAGGTACATCCATCCAGGAAGTTTGCTGAACCTGTATTTGAATTAGGTCGCTCACAGTAAAACTGTAGCACAAGCAGTGAACATAAACAACATTGCTGTATAATCATGGTGGTTTGAAATCATCAGTTCTCTGCAGGTATTTTATGGACAGAAGGCAACAGAATCTATCAAATAAGCAACAGAAGGCAGAGTAACATTTAAATAGGATAGCAAGAAGAGAACCTGAGGAACAATATGCATGCTTCTACATGAATGCCAAAAGTGTAAGCGGTAAGACAGTGGGATAAAATGACTCACCTTAAATGACACCATCGTAGCAGGCACGTCGGTAGCTGGCTGGAAAAAACACAACTGATTAGACATTGTTATAGAAGGGTACAGAGCATAGAGGAAAATAAAAAGGAGGTCATGCTGGTGGTAAAATACTGATAATGAGCTAAATACCTCAACATGTAGCATGGACCAGTGTAGCAATGCAACAGAATGCAGAAATGCAACAGAAGTGGCAGACCACCAAAAGGTCATTCTCGGACATTATCTGGAGAACAGATATGGTGATGGGAGCCCGTGGTAGAAGGATCAAGCCTTGACTTGAGCCTCAGTAGAACATGCTGCCTGCTTAGTTTTCTTATAGCTGGTGAGCTGTCTTGTCAAAGCCATGGAAAGATTTTTCTTGTCAGCAGCCAGGCCCAGCATTCCCTAGGAATGGCCTTGGTCTTTTACCACACTGGGCTCTTCCATTCTCTATTATATAATTTCTTTTCAAAGCTCACATTTTCAAAAGTGGAGAAGTCATATATATTCTTACATTAAAATATTACTTTAAGAGAAAGGTTAAAGTTTCATCTAGGTGAGTGGCATGGATGAGACATCTCATGTCTTCAATCAGTAAGCCACACTTATTTCCCAAGCTATACTATGCATTTAATTCTTCTTTAAAAAAATACTACTTGCTGATAAATAATATTGCCGTATGTTTTAAACTGACTACTCTGTTTATTTTCCTCAAACTATATACAGAGCAAAATATTGTAGCTTAGCATAAGCTTAGTGAATATTCACTCTTACTTAGTGAATATTTGAAACAAAATGGTAATCACCAGACCAGCCATAGACAATCCAACGCCAATGTAAGAAATACACTCCAAAGGCTTCACATATTTATATTGATCTGAAAAGCCTAGAAAACAAATTTTATCTGTTACAGGATGGGAAGAGATAAATTTCTTTCTACAAATGGTGTTTCTAGTTACAGAGAGAAACAAAAATATTTTAGTAAAGTTGATAGCCACTGCCAAAATTTTCAAATCATGCAAAATTATTCTGGACCTCAAAATTAGAGAAGCTTTTAAAGAACTCCAGAAAGAGACTTCACAATATCAATCAAATATTTAACAAAATAGCAGATTAAATTATTCATTAAAAATGCAAAGTGACACAGCCTGGATAAAGTAGCTTTAACTTTTTGTACTGATGTGCATTCTGAATTTGGCTTCTGAGGATAAGATGATGTGACGAATTATAAATGAAAATCAGTCTTTGTATAGTGGCAATAAAGAAGCGAATAGACACAACTATTCAGTAAAACAGAAAATATTGTCTTTGCATAAATGGTTGGAAATCTTTTCAATAATATAGTAAATTTGTGTGATAAGGACATGTGTAATATAAAGGGAAATACAGAAACAAATAAAATTACAAATTTGGAAATGCTGCTCTTTGAAGACAGAGGAAAAAAACCTGTGAAATCCTGGCACTGCTGAAGTCCATGACCTCAGATAACTGATTTTACCCAAGGAGTGTTTTGTTTAGAGAAGGTGAAGCAAATACTGAAAGAATAACAATCGTCAGAAGCAGTCATTCCTAAGTAGTCTTGTTAGTGCAAGAGGGCAATATATAAAACTTAATGGTAACAGGCTTAGTGTTTACAGAGCTGGAGGCTGCTGCAACTGAGGAAGGGGAGTGAATTGCGCCAGCCCTTCCCTCTTGCTGCACAGGCAGGTGGGCACAGCCACAATTTGTGTCAGGGGAAGCCAGGACTCGCCAACACATTTAGCTTTCCAGCAGCCTGGGGAAAACTCGCATGTCTGACAGGTGAAAAAACCCAAACTAATTAAAAAATCTCAAACTCTTCCCATTCAAGAAAGGACAATGTCCTACCATCAGGAGAGAAAAATCACTAGTGCGATTACACCTGCATGTCAAGAACTTGTCTTTTCCTTTTGCACAGCCAATGGTGCTTTAGTCACTGATAGTATAATACGAAAAGACGGCATGATCATGCAGCTGCAGTTCGGATGGACTGGGATCACAAGGAGACAAAGTAGCTACAGAAACATAAGCAGATACGCACCAACAAATGGTGTGTGCTGACAGTTATCCTCTGAAAGGGGAGCTGACAGCTACTAAGGGATTTATGGGGTTTCCGGTAAACCTTATGAACAGTATCAATAATGGCATAATTTGGCATTTTGAACTTACTTTGTGTACCTTTCTCAGTCAAGACTGCCGATGAAATTACCCATTTCTGTCAATTATTCAGGCAATTATGGTTCAGATACACATTGACTTGGCTTTAAATCGATGCCAAATGAATTCTGCACAAGCCAAACAACAGCTTTCAGACAGTACCATTAAATTGCTGCCAGCCGGAGCTGAAACCACAGTGTAACAGGAAGCAAACAATGAGAAATGCCATGAACCATCTCCTCCTCTCTTGGAGCACAGCAATGCTTGTGCAGTCATATATCAAACTGCATGCAGTTGTTTTCAGAAAACATACTTCTGCAAGGTACTGCGATTAGAACTGCTTTTTAATAAGCAACAAGGAGCTTGAAGTGCAAATAAGTAGTGAAGGCAACTATTCACAGTGCTAGGTAGTTCAATTAAAAATGAGGAATAAAAGTAGGTGTAAAAAAACAAAATCAGTTTTGTTTCAGTGATTTCCTTAGAAATTACATTCATTCGCCAATCGCTTACTTCACATGGATTCATAATAATTCTTACTGATCTATCATATGCAGAGCAGAGGAGCTGAATCACCTCCCTCGACCTGCTGGCCACGCTTCTCTTGATGCAGCCCAGGATGCGATTGGCCTTCTGGGCTGTGAGTACACATTGGTGGCTCAAATCCAGCTTTTCATCCACCAGTACCCCAAAGTCCTTTTCTGCAGGGCTGCTCTCTATCACATCATCCCCTGGCCTGTACTGATAACAAGGACTCTCCCTACCCAGGTGCAGGACCTTGCATTTGGCCCTGTTGAACCCCATGAGGTTCACATGGGCCCACTTCTCCAGCTTGACCAGGTCCCTCTGGATGACATCCCGTCCCTCTGGGACATCGACTGCACCACTCAGCCTGGTGCCATCAGCAAACTTGCTGAGGGTGCACTCGGATGCCACTGTTATGCTGGGAAGCTATCAAAATTAAGATTAATTCAGTTGTACAGCTTTAAGTTGTTTACAAAGTTTGGAATGGTGGGAATGAAAGGTAAAAGCCCTCCTCCCATTCTTGGACCCTCTCCCTCGAGCTGCCCCAGCTCACTAGATGGCAGCACCACACCGCAACGTGTAACAAAACTCCGAATTACTGATGGCAGCAGAATAGCCTTGTGGTGCAACCTTGTGCTTTATCTTTACTATTACTTTAGAGATGATTTGACGTTTGAACCACTTAGTGAAGGCTGTGTCCTGGGGAAATATAATATTGAGCTCAAGGGTTTCCCATTAAGGGATCCGGGCAGGTGAATCATTAAATTGAAGTTACAGTAGTCAAGCAAAAATGCATGATGAAAGGGACTTTTCTTATTTAAAGGTACTGTAGCTGATTTCTTGTTTCCTTTTTCTTTTTTCTTTTTATTTCTCAGTTGGAGCTAGTGATAAGCAAATGAAGCTCAGAAGTGGAGGAGAAGCCGTCATTGTCATGTGCTTAGTCAGGTTCAGCTCTCCATGTTTTATAGAAATGGCAGAGCTAATCCTTAAAGTAAGGCTTCAGGCTGTATGGATTTTATCAGGAAGAGTTTGGCATTCGTACAAGAAAGCTTTAATTTGAATTCTTGAGGGACAGAAGTATTTCATCCGTGTTCAGCCAATCACAGGACTGAGTGGAAAGGATTCACTCATAGTCCTTCCTAACATGTCAGTGTCAGCATCACTTCATTCCCTCATGCCAGTCCTCTCCAAATCCCTTCCACTTTCTTGCTGATTTGGTGTCCTAGGTCAGCATCATCTCCGTTCAGATGGGCTTGCTCTGAAGTGGGAACCTTGACTGAGGAAATTGCAGGCCAGTTAAGCAATATGAAATGGGATGCTGTGTTCAGGCAAAACTAAGCAACATAAAATGATCACCACTGGAAATTCCAGCCATTTGCAAAGCAGGCACATGACAAGAATACCACTGAAAAGGGCTTTGGACGTTAATTTTGCTTTCTGCAAAGTTTTAAGAGATGTAACACATATATATGTCCTGCTTCAATTTCCTATCACTTTTTCTTGAGGTCATGTAGAACCTCAGACACTGTTCAAATGGCAATTTAAGATTACCTGTGGTGCTAGGAAGTCCAGATCTCCATTGCAGTTCAGAATTCTCGGAGGTTCTGAAGTAGGAGTTCTCCCTTCTCTGGAATTCATCTGGATTACTCTTGAAGTGTTACCTGTAATTTTGTAAAAGCAGAAAGATGTATATTTAGTACAGAGGATATACATTTAGTATGGAAGCACTCACATGTGCATCACTTCATTACGAATGAAAACAATACTGTGGCGGTGATGCCCTATCCAGTGTTATTTTTTATTTGCATGTAAAACATTTGTCTTTCAGTGTTACAAGTGACCATCAATTATTTAACTAGTTATTGTTCGTTTCAGAACATGTTTTAAGACTCATAAACACAATCTTGTCAGAGTGGGTGACATTATTCATGCCAAATTCAGATAGGTCTAGTTACGCTAGAGCTGCAGAAACACATCTCTTAAACAGGAGGCACAAGCATCAGCACCGAGCTATGAAAAAGACATTTTTCCATGTCCTGAAAAACATACTTTCTGTGTTATAAAAGAAATGCAAAGGGCACGTGGAGCAGCTGTGCAACACTAATGCTCTACGAGATCTCTGAAAGCTGAGACCATTCAAGAAACCACAGTTGATAAGAAGCATCCTGAATCCTAATGTTATAGAGTAGAATATAAATAGATTGTTTTTTCTATCAAAAGGCTGTTCAGGAGCAGATATTAGCTGACTTTGAGCCCAGTCCCAGACAGTCAGGGATACAACTCAGCATGTGTACCTTAAATTCTCTGCGTTTGGGGTAGAAAGCTGTGTGGAAAGGTTTGGGCTCCTGCTGTCCGAGCTATGCAGTTCTGGCTTCAAACGCCAACCTCCCATCTGGTTTAGTAATCCAACATCTTTCACAAGCCTTGCATTTGCTTTTGGGAAGCAGAAGTGAAAGGGAAGAAACACATACCATTTACAGTATCAAGTTTGCATTTTTCTTTAGAGTTGTCATATTTCCCCATTGTAATCTGTTCAAAAGTAAGGTTTTTTGTAATGCTTTCAGAAATGTTTGCTGTGGAAGTACTGGCTTTACAGAAATTAACTGCACAGAAGGGGGAAAAAAAAAACAACAGAAAAAACATATATCCAGATCAATATTTTTTAGTACAGGGACAAATTTTAGAAAGTAAAATAGCACTGAGACAAGAGAGGCTCATTGGTCTTTTTGCCCTAAAGGAAATAAAAATAGCTGGGTAAATCTTGTCTAAACCCAGGCTGCTGAACTGCTACAAGTGATATTTATGAAGTCACTGAAACCTTAAAAGCCCATACTTTTTTCCATCCCTCCTATTTTCACTGCTTTGGTCTTAGAAAACTTGTAAAAGATCATAAAGTTTCACTTTCAGAGTCTTGTTACCCAGGCGGAAATCAAATCTGGTAATCTAATGTCACAGAATATGTCAGGGGGCAAGAATGCGCATTCACTTCAAATAGGGTTTGGATAATTAATGAGGGACAATCCTTTGGCAGCTCGGAATCACGATGAGTCAGATGTGGTTTCTGGTGCAGGAAGTCACTGCCCCACTGCTTGCTGGAACAGGATGGGGTGGCCACCCCAAACCCCATGCTGTGTCTAAGCACTTGGTACTGGCTACATCTAAAGGCAGGATGATGAGCTCAGTGGACCCGTGGCCTGACCCAGTACGGCATCTGATTGCAATCTCAGGTGATACCTTCCGCTATAACTTAACACAAGTTTACTTTGCAATGCTGCAAGCACTTGAAAAAAATGCTGCAGCGCGCAAGCAGATTTTTTTTTGCTTGGTCTTAGGTCTTGCAACATCTTGTTTTTTCTAACTTTTGCTGATTCGAACCACATTTCAGCTGACTGTGTCCCATTAGCCAGACTGAGTCAAAGAAGCATGCTTATGGTTGGGGTCCTAAGGGGGGCTCAGGAGACCTGGAGTGTTCTCCATGTTCTGGCACGGGCTTCCTTGCCAAGCCATTTAACTTTCTGTGGGACTTATTTTCTATAGGTTCTCTGTTTCCCATGCCTTGATACTTTCCTCCTATAGAAATGGTTACGAACAAATAAGGATGCATGACTCTGCAAAGATTAGGTCTGCCTTACAGCACTATAACTAAACTTTGATTGCCAGGAGGCGATTAGCAGGGTGAGATGTCCCAAAAATGTGAGGCAGGAAGCTCTAGAGGGCATCTAGGTCAGAGGCACCACATCCTCACAGGAAAATATGTTCCAGTGACACATTACCTCCCTAACTAAAATTTTTTTCTTCATGCTCAGTCTTAGCTTTTCAAACTGCAATTTAGGACCGCTGCCCCTTGCTTTATCTTCTGGTGCTGCTGAGACGAGTTTGGATTCAATGGTCTTTACAACTCCCACACGCTTAGCTAGAGGCTGCTACTAGCTCTGCCCTCAGCCTCCTCAGTACCACATTGCACGAGCCCAGCTCCCACAAACGCTCCCTGTAGGCCACCTGCCCTAGGCCCCTCATCACCCTCACTGCATCCTGCTGGACCCTCTCCAGCTTCTCCAAGTGTTTTCAGCCTTGGGTGCAGAGGGCAAAGCTAAGCACGTATTTCCCAGTGATGCTTAACCAGTGCCAGGAAGGGGAGGGTGGAGTAACAGTGTCAGCCTGTCTCCCTCCACATAGCACAGCTGCTCTGCCTTGTTTGCAATGAACACACACTGTTGGCTCATATTGAACTTGGCAGCCACCATTGCTCCCAGGTACTTTCCAGCAGGGCTGCTCCTCAGCAAGTTGCTGGTCTGTACCAATGTCTCTCGCACAGAGATCAGCTCTTGTCCTTGTTGGACACTGTAAGGTTTCTGTTGGCACAATCCTCAGGTTTCTCAAGGTTATTCTGTATTAAAGTTCTGCCATTAACAGTGTCAACAATACCTCTTCCCTGCCCTAAGTTTAGTATTGTCTGCAGATTTGCTGAGAGGACACACTGTGTTGTCGTTCAGATCTTTGATGAAAACATTAAATGACACCGGCCCTAGTACTGACCAGCAGTTTTACAATGTCACTGATTGCTACTCTTTGAGCTTGGCTGTTAATTTTCAACTCAGCTAATGGTTCATTCACACAATCTGTACATCTTGACCTACCAAACAAGACTCATCAGGGAGGTGGTGTCAAAGGCACCTCTCAAATCAACGTGTTCTATCTGTTGCTCTTCTGTTGTCTGCATAGACAGTTATTTCATACAGAAGGCAGTCAGATTGGTCAGGCATGATTTGCCCTTTGTAAATCCATGCTGTTCCTGATTATCTTCTTGTCTTTCAAGTGCATGGAAATAGACTCCAAGAAGACATGCTCTATAATACTTCTAGGGCCTGAGGTAAGGCTGACTGGCTTATGGTTCCCTCAGGCCTCCTTGACCTTCTTAAAGGTGGCCATACTACTTTCTTTTTTTTAAGTTTTCTGTGGCCTGCCCTGATCACCATAGGTGACAGATAGCAGCCTCACAGTGATATCAGGCAGATCTTTCAGCAGTCTTGAATGGATCCTGTCTAGACCCATGGGTTTGAATACTTTTGTGGTGATCCTGCTTTCCTTCTGACAGATGAAAGCCAGAAATAAGTTACTACATTCATGCAAGAATACATATGCATTCATACATGAGTACCTATTCAAGGTTTATTTTTCATCTTTTGAGTTATTCAAGCCTTGATATGAAAGCTTATATACTTGGCTAGTTTATACACTTATCTACACTACATGTTTATTTACTTATGCTACTTGTTTTTCTACTTACAAAAGAGAGTCCATCTGAAATAAAATTGTTTGGTGCTTTTTTCCCCACTGATGCAAATCTCAAATTGTTGCAAATACTCTGACTTCAGTAGAATTTATCCAGATTTTTTTTTTTTTGAAGAAAACACAAGTAGGAAGAAAACCAGGCCATGGGTCATTATCTGTGGAGGAAAGAAATCATGATGTAACATACAAAAGGAACGAAATATGAACCAAATGGAAGTTTTCCTTCACTATTGCAACAGAAGTAATGGCTTTACAAAAATTGTCTACCCTATAGGCCCTGCTTTCTCCTGCCAGCAATAAACCAGACCACCTCCTCTATACACCTAGCACCTGACAGCCTCCTCAACACCTTTAGCAGTGTATTCCCACACTCTTTATGCCCCATTTTGACTCAGCACCCTCACCCCTGTGTCTTACATCCATGTTTACATCCCCAATACATAAAATATCCATCTTTATTTTGTAAGCTGGTGGAGAGGAGGCAAATATCATGGGCAGTTTAGAGCTGTGCATCTTAGTGACCAGACTGGACTAACTGGCCATGTGGCCTCCATCTCCTCACTACCAGCAAAGTTTCCTTGCCTTTTTCTCAGTGACGTATTTACAGATTTGGCCTTCTGGAACCAACTAGTGATATGCACAAAACTCACATGAACTGAAGACCTTTAAGACCTGTAATGATCTACCGAATTTAGTTGAAACTGATCAGCAAGTTAAAGTTGCCAAGAAAGTGGAACAACAGACAGATGGCCAATATAAATGTTCCCCTTTAAAACAGAGTAAAATTCAAATTTTGTAAATGCAATAATGTTTGTTATTATTTCAAGTTAATGATGTCTGTCCAAACATTCTTACCTCATATATTGTAACAACTACAGTTATTAAAATCTGTTCTTTAAGGCAATTCAAAGCATATCACAAACAGAATGTCAGAGGAATGAGTAGGGAATTACAGAGAGATCATGATGGTTTGCTTCCAGTCCTGAAATCCCAGTCATCATTATTTTAGTTAAGCCAGCTGCTCTGAAACCTTTTGCCTAAATGTTCCAATCCGTCATGAACCCATACAATCTGTCATTGTATGTTCGTTGTGCTACCCATCCTGTAGCATTTCCATAAGGGAAATGACAAGAGAGGGCTGAAGTTTCCATTTGCCTAGTGATCTTCACCAAGAATATTTTCTTGGGTAAGCTGCAAGTCATTTGACAACCTTCTGACCAAACAAGCAAGTTCATCTGACAAAGGTGCAGCTGATGTGTGATGTCATATCCATGTGCCACCTTGGAAGGTGTGAGCTGGGGATCTTAACAGCTCTGAAGATACTGCAGCTCAGTAAGCCGGCACCCCCCCAACATTGGCTGGGAGCACCCACTCCAGTTTTGGAAGTGCAGAGATGCCATGCTGCAGCAGAGGGGACTGAAATTGGAGTCAACCAGGCCAGTGCTGTGCCCGCTGTAGGAACTTCCACTAATCCAAGACCAGTGCCAGTGGCAGCAGGAGCTGAGGACAGGCATTGTCCCACAACGCTCTGATCTGGATGTTGCCCCTTAAACACAGTAATAACACAGACACAGTAATAACAGCCACTGAGGTCTGAATCAGGTTTTCAGGTCACTGTGATCTTCAAATAGAGGAATTCAAACAATGGCCAAATTGGCTATAAACAGGCCACAGAGAGATGAAACCTGTAATGTCCTCCCCAGATGAAAGAACAGAAGTGGGTGAAGGATACGGCCTCACCTAGCAAGAAGAGCCATGCCATTGCTAGCAGATCTGACCTTGCTGAGCAAGGGGCCTCCCAAAGCAGAGGAGTTCCCAGAAATAACACCAGCTGCCCATGCTGCCTGGCTTATATTGAATTATCTCACAAAGAGACCCCACCCACTCCTCTGGGCACACACAGACTCCATCCCGGCAGACACTGCCCTTGAGGTAGAAGCATGGAGGTACCATGGGTTCTGTACAATCTGTGTAAATAACAAATCAAGATATAAATACATTTATTAAAACCACATATGTAATCTGATGAAGGAAAGAAACAAATATGATTTATTTGAAGTTTCAACTAAAAAACGTTCAGCTAAAAATATGTGACCCACAGTCTCACCCATGTACTCAGTCACCAGTCCCTCCTTGTCCCTGAAACCAATGGCATGAATGTGGGGTCTAAGCTTTCAAACCTGAATTTACATTCCCAGAACAATGTAGGTGGAAACAGTTTTGTGTAGCTGCTGGACAAGCAGGAGCGATGGTGTGGACTTTAGTGCTGCCAAAAGGTGAACATGTTGAATCTGTGAAAAGCCCAAATTACTCCAGCAGGTTCTCACAGGAGCAAGAAGGCAAAATGCGACAAGTTTCCCAGTGCTGAGGGACCCAGAACAGTAACAAGTATGTTACACATACACATCCAAGAATCAGAAAGAGATGCTCTGATTTAAGAAAGGTATTATAGGATAAGGCAGATAAAAAACAATGCCCCAGTCTCAGATATGTCCACACTCCAGGACAGGTGCCAGTTTTTATTCCGTCTTCTGGCAAAAATAGTGGGGTTTGTTCAAAGTAGTCATTGCATGGGCTGCCACAATAACAGAGAAATTGCAGATATAGAAATTTCTGAACTGGTACTTGCCCTGTTTGGCAAACTCTGAATATGTTAAGGTTTCTTAAAAAAGATACTGGAAAATCTTGAATGGCTAAGGTATGTTCTGCAGCAGAAATTGCAACAAGGAAGAGCTTGATGGACGTCAAGCTCTGAAAGATGGGTCCAAGACTTGAGGCATCTGTAGGGACCAAGGCTTCCTCACAATCGATCTCACACTGTCCCTAAGTGAAGGATGTAGTTGGAATCCCTTCCCTTAAGGTTCATGGTGGAAATTGTGCACTGGCGTTGAGGACTGCCATTTGATCTGACATTTTAGTGCCTGTGTTTTGAGATGCTGACAACCAGAATAAAGCTAGAAATTTCAAAAGTAAACAGTGCTGTCAGAAACATGTGCTATTGTGTATTTTTGATGTTCTCACTGAGCTAAAAAGATTGCTTAACTTCTTTTTTTTAATGGGATTCATATAACTGGAAGATTATTGCAAACTATATGGGACATGCCACGTGGCAAGGGTAATTCTGTTATTGGCATGCATCGCTCGACTTTTGCTCAAGTTGTTGCTATTTAGCATTTGTGTTTCAGGCTGTCTCAGCTACATTACAGCCAGATGTCTATGATGATAGAGGAATAATATCCATGCGTCACTAGGTAATGTCTCTGCTAGCCATCAGCTTTTCAAAACACATCATCTCTCTGCTGGAAGTCTTACAGTGAGAAAAGGAAACCTCACTCAGCAACTGAGGTTTGGGTGGCTGTAGGAAAGCAGCTGTAGAGAGCAGCTATATCTGGGGAAGCTGAGTGTCTGTTGAGCATCTGTTGCCCCATTGCCCAGCAGCGCTGGCTCGCCTGGCCAGCACAGCGTGTGGTGCCTGGGGACATATGGCAGAGGAGTGACACCGAGGTGAACATGCACCTGAAGCAGCTGGGAAGAAGGTGATGCAGCAGAGTAATTTGCCACAGCAGATCCCAAAACCAGGGAGGGAGCAGCACTGCTCTGCAAATGCACAGACCGGGGTGCGGGAGGAGAAGGGCAGGGGAGCTGCTGGGGCAGCTTCTGGTGGGAGCAGTGGTGGTGCTTCCACAGCCAGGCTACAGTGTTGGGGTCTGGCTTTAGCTGGAAAAGGAGTGTGAGGAAAGGGAAAGGTGAAAAGGAAAACAGGGCTGACATAATTTTGAAAGCAGTGAAACAAAAAAGCATGAAGCCATGGGGTAAGAAGAGCAGCATTTGCCCCTGGAAGTGCAGGCACAGCTGGCACGCAGCCTGTGCAGCAAAAAGCAGGTGCCTGCAAACAGTGTCAGCCTTACCTTTGCCTTCCCAAAAAGACTCGCTCTCTAACAGCAATGCAACGTTTGTGGGATCTGTCAATGCTAGTCAAAACCATGCCTCTATTTAGAGCTTCCTGGTAACTTTTCTTAGCCTACTGTTCAAGGTCTCATGTAACACCGTAAAGCATTTTTTCTTTTTTTTTTTTCCCAGAGGGAAATCTATGTCTTTCACAAATACAAATTCCTGAGCTGACTAATGCAGCCATGTCTGCCCTACATGCAGTAAAACTCATCAGGCTGCAGTAATCATGGCACTGGCTTAAAACCACGGTGGTGTTCTCGTTTTATTTTAAGATTCAGAAAATATTTTTGTATTTGTCTTTAGCTTTTAAGTTTTGCATACATTAATCATCTCAAGAATCACAATAATTTTGATGGTACATATTTTTAAACTAAAACTAAAAGATTACTCCATAATACTATGTCCTCGTGAACTGTTAGGGGTTTTTTAATGAAACATCACGGGAACTGTTATTGCTAATACTTTTGGTTAAAATTTGAATAAAAATGAAACGCTTCCACTGTGCACAACAAGCAATGCATCAGATGGGCACAGAGATATTCTCCATCCCTGAAGTATCTGCAGGTTAAATCCAGTTCATAGCAGCTTGTTTTCCTGCAGTTGTGTAAATCCTAGGCATAAGCAGAGGTATCCTCAAGATGCACTGAGAGTTAACTCCCATCTCATCCGTGTTTAGCTTCAAGTCAAACAAAACACTGGGCATATACTTACATTAGCAAAAGTAGATTATTACTGATATATGTTAAATAATTGCTGCTTACATATGTGCCATTTCTTGGGCATGTCCGCTGCCTACAAACATCTGATAAATCCCTTGAAGTAAAAATAACCTAATGTATGCTTATATAAACTTTTTCCTAGGCTTCTTGGTCTCCAGCTCTGACTGCCCACTGGACAAACAGCCAGGAGTATATGATTCTTTCTATGAATTTTGCATATAGTTCAATGTGTAATTTTGTATCTTGTCCATATAGTGAGTATTTTGCTGAAATGAAACACTGACCAGTTTTCCGCTCCAAGTTTGCACACAGAAGTGTCTTATGAGAGAGCATTGACCTGATTTTCATTTAGAGAATATGCCAACAAATATTGCTGATTTTCTTTCAAAATTTTTTTCTACAATGTGAGTTGTAATGAAAACATGAACAGGTGAATGCAAGCTTATAAACATGTGTAAAGGTAAATATTTCCTCTTTAAAACATAATTTACTAGACTAGCTGGAGGTTTATTTTTGTCTTTTGAAAAATAAATCAGATTTCTACTGGAAGAGTGAGAAAATTTCAAGACATTTCTCAAAGAAATCATGTGTATTGTAAACAAGGAAAATACTCCAGAGATTGTTTGCCATTCAATGCTGTTTTACAGCAGAATGCAAAGTTTGGAGTACTGCATCAGTGTAAGAATAAAAATGTTTTCATGTAAGAAGCATAGAGCATGGATGTAATAATGTTAATCAGCAGTCATGTTTAAATAATTAAGGAAAGGAAAAAGAGCTTAAAAAGCTCAAACAGAACTCAGAGGAGGTACAATTTTATTTCTTACCTGTTTTAAACCTGAGGACAAGCTGCCAAATACACAGCACCCAAAGGATCACGGTCACTACACAACAGGTAATTCCAACCAATATTCTCTCCCAGAGGGAATTAACTATTTATCTACTGTAAAAACTTTAACATTTTCTGGTCCATTCAGAAAAAAAGTTTTGGTGAGGAAGTGGCATGCCACTATTTCTAACATTTTCCACCTGATAAAACATTTCACTTATCAAGGCATTAAATGTAATGTTCTTCTACTTAGCTCAGACACTCAGCTACATTTATACTGATAAGGGCTAGAGCCTGTTATCTGAGTGCATAGCATGCCTCAGAGCCATGCCCGTGAACCTCTCCTCCCTGCAAGCAAGGCATATATCTATATATATATCTATATATATCTATATCTTCCTGGGAGCTGACTCTAGTCCCCAAACAGATCTAGTTACGCGTTCTGGGGGGTGCATGGCCTCGTTTTATTTGCCAGCACACCTGTAACCAGCTGGGCTCTGCAGCAAGGAGGCCCAGAAAGACCCAGGGATGAGGCTGTGGAAGGATAAGAAGGTCTGTCCTCTGCAGCAACTTTCCTCTTCTGCTGAGAGGAGGTGGAAATGCCAACCATATCAGGACTGGCCTGGACCAGGCACTTGGCACGCACTTTCAGGAGAGTAAATGGCATTTCCATACTACATAGTGTGGACAGGCAGTCTAGAGCCTGGTTGTATCTATCTCCTCTGCGCACCCCCATCATTAAATATTGCCACTCAGCAGGCACTGACATAACTGCGAATTACATGTCTTTAGATTCCTGGGACATCTAATCCATCCAGAAAGGAGCAGGGACAGAGAAAAAAAGCATTATTAAAGTGTGAAGTGGAAAGAAAAGTTACACCACCAGCAGTGTCAAAACCAGCCTGTCCTGCATGCTAGCGTGTCTCCCGCTGACAAATAAAAAGCTAAGAGGTTAGTATCATGGTGAAAATCAAGAGGCAAACAGAGCCATTTAAAGAACAAATTAGAATAACACTGTCTTTTTTATATCAGTGCTCACTAGATGAATTCCCTGGGCGTGAGTAGGAGCAGTACCTTGCTTTTACATGGTATTCTTCAGCAGTGACTCTTGGTGAAGAAAGGAGGCATGTTTGGCTTTTTCAATTACCATCTCAGTTTTAGAAACAAGGCTCAAAAATCTGGTGTAATATGTTAGGGATGTACAGAAATCCAGTCAATAAAAAGGCTCAGGTCTGTTGCAATGTGGCCCAATGGTCTAGCCACTGGATAATACTGACATTGATACTACTGTCTCTTTAACACCTTACACGTTATTAAGGTGGTTTTTCCTCTTATCAAGGAAAAGAGAGTAAGATAAAGGATGCATTTGGTCTCCTTGGTGGCAATCTGCAAAACATTCATAAAAGTACTCATGCTTGTATTCAAAAAATCGATACAGAAAACACAAACGTCTAATTTTTAGTGATCAAGACACTTTGTATTGAGGAAAGCACCCAACGACATAGGAAGGACTTAGGAAATGTCGAAATATTTAAGATTACATTACATTTGCAAACAGGAGCTCCAATGTTGTTAATACACTTCTTCAGACAGCCTTAATGCCTTAGTGACAGGTTGTGCTACCGCACCAGTAACTGGTTCTGGGACAAACCTCCAGGCAGGACACGGCTGGTTGCTGTCCCTTGGGCACGGCTCTCTCTGGCTGGGGATCTGCCTGCCCAGCCATTAGTTTACAAGTGTGTCTCTTGTCCTAGATATTTCCCTTCTCTGTGTTATTCTCTTTAGCATGGAAAACAGAGAAGGGAAAAGATCCTCATTGCTGGGATCCACACGGGATATGAGAAGGGCGGGGGGGCCATGGCACACAGCTGATGGGTGGGAGGAAACAGGCATCTCCCTGGCACAGAGGGGATGTTTGAGCCTGTTAATAAAATGCCACAATGCAAATCCCCACCAGGTGGGTTGCACAGGCATTGGCAAGTTTTCTTCATCAGAGGGGCAGCAATGGGGCTCTGTGAGGCAGGGCAGCAGAGATACCCTTTTTGTCTGGTGAGAGCAGCTGTGGGTGGAGGGGGACACAGCTCCAGGGATGGCCCCAGTATGCATCCCACTGCCCAGCCATGCTGTGGGCTGGGAAGCATTTGCAGAGTTGCCCAGGCAAGCCCTGGCAGCCTGACGGGTCCGTGGCCCGGTTATCTCACTGCTGTTGAGCTGTGAAAAATCTCAGCACACACTGGGGAGAAACATCTCCTCCTTGTCCTACTCACAAAGGATTCTTAGTACCTTTGTGTGTGTTAATTACTTTACAGGTTCTTGCTGTAAGCTTTTCCTGGGGCTAGAATGATCAAGAGTTTAAAAACAGGTCTAAGAGCCTCATAGGAAGATGCTCGTCCCCATGCAGAACTAAGAGCGATTCAGATAGACTGAGTCTTGCAGATGGGGAAACTGAGCCACAGAATAGTTCAGCAACATTAAGCTGCATGCAATATAGCTCCAAGTCTGATGTTTACAGTGTATTAAAAGCATACCCAGCATCTGAATCACACATCTGGGTCCTTTGCTAGTAGCAATGCTGCTAAATGATAGCAGGGACTTGCAGAGATTTTTAAATAACAAAGTAGGAAAGAAATAAGAATAAATTCTTCTGGTTACTGACATTGCCCTTTCTGTTCAATCACTCCTTCATTCCGTTACATAGCTAAGATCATGATGGATGTCTTTGAGCAGCATGTTGTGTTTTGGTACATAAAATACTGTGAGTCCAAAACCTTGGAATGCAAGCCAAAGTTTACAAGTGGAAGTCAGTTCGTGAACTGGGAAGTGGAAGTAGGATTGTGAGTAAAAAAATTGGAAACTAGTAAAGTCACGTGAGCTTTATACAAAGAAAAGAAATGTCATAAGGAAGCAGATGGCAAAACCAAAACAAATCAATAAACATACCCTAAAGGATTTTTATTTCTTTTATTTCTGAAAATATTAAAACATGTTCATATGATAGAATAATCAAACTGAAAAAATAATGTATTACTTGCAAATTTGTATGTGATGCATCTGTGGGAAGACAAAACCGTCTTAAGTGACTAGATATGTTTCTTCTGCTTTCCTCTATTTCTTTTAAGCCTTAATTAGAGCCAGATGTTTCATATTCCCTTTCTTTTTTGTTTTCAAGCCTGAATGAAGTGCAGTGCCAGCAGGCAACACCATCTTTGACATTTTTTTATGTGTCAACTGCATTTGGCTGAGTCAGAGTCACAAACCAGTAAAATTCCAGCAAAGCGGAGCAAGTTTTTACTCCTGCTGTCGTTCCCTTCGGGAGCAGGGAACTGGCATTACTGCCTCTGGGGCTACTACACAGGAGCCATAAAAATCCTGGAATGTGGCTGAGAACCTTGTCCCTGGTAAATAACTCTGGAGGCAGGCTGGAATGCCACGTGCCATGAACGCAGTTTGCCTACTGTTGTCATAGAGTAGCTGGAAGTGATTTCTATGATGTTTAATTGCTATTCAGTTGTATAGATCTGTAGTTTAACTTCTGTTTCTTCTTCCTCTTCATCAGGGAGGCAATGGCTGGAAACCACAGCATTTATACACAACCATTTCTGCTAGTACTTCATGCCATTACTGTGACATCGACCTCCTAAGATACTATCCCCTCCAGAATACTTTGTCATTAAATGGCAGTGGTCTGTACGTGAGAGCTTTCTTTCTGAATCAAGTTGCAAAGTATGCTGTAGTATTTATAATTATGCTTTTCAATGACTTGTAAAATGTATTTTCATTCTAAGCGTATCAAATACAGAAATCCATGAAGTGCAACAATTATAGAGCAAGATATTAGAAATTACCGTTCTGAAAAAGTCATCTGAGGACAAGTTATGGCTTATTTGACAAGTATTAGGCGTTTTACTCCCACATATTTTGAGCAAGCACAAATTTTACCTAGAATAGATTTTAAAGGCAAGTATCCAGCAGTTTTCCAGTTGTCTTTCTCCCTTTTAACAGATGTGCTGTTGTTGTGCAGCCCTTGGGACTCAGGCTTGCTTCTACTACTGCAGATGCTAAAGGGCTTTTTGGATAAAAAAATATTCTGTTTTCTTCCATCGACTTCTGTACCAGTAACCACTACTCCAGCTGCTGTAGTTCAGAGGAACCGAACCACATGGGAGGAGGGCATTAAGGTACCAGATACACCAAAGATTTCTAGTGCCTCAGTTTTAAGGATAGATGAACCTGTAGGATTGAAATTTCTTGCTGCCAAATTACTCTTACTTCAAGATAGGTTTACATACAAGGAAAAAAAGTATTTGTTTACATAATATAGAACAAATATCACAGTTACTAAACTTACGGAGATGCAGATAATGTAAATTAGGAGAAAGCCACATTTGACCTGTTGATCTTCATGATAAAACTTCGGTAGGTTCCTTTCCTCCTGTCAGAAAAACTCCTCACCTCACGCGGGCGCCTTTATCAGGACTTCAGCTCCCATGCTCCAACTCCTCTCCACGGTGCAAACCTCGGCACTTAAGTTAGTAACAGCAAGTGAGGTCCAAAGCGTTCTCTCGATCCAGACTAAAATGCCAGCTTAGACGCACCTGGCACTATGGTCAGGGACCCAGGAACTGCTGGAGCAGCCTTGCCTTTAAGCTGCCAGCTCAGAGAAGCTTTTTCCCCCAGGACATCTTGCTCCCTGGTTTTCCAGGGTGCGGTTTCAGCCTCTTTTCCTATGGGTCACTGACTGCTTTGCAGCCTGCTGACAATATCAAGCGAGCTTTCTTGGGCTCAGGCAATGCTGCCCTCAGACCAGGCTCCCCGTACGGTGCGTGAGTGCCTCCCTCCATGCCTCACCCCAACACCGATGCAATCCTGAGGTCCCGAGTCATCCCCACGAGTGGAAACACCTTCCCATTGTGAGCCAGTGCCAAAATGTGAATTTTACACAACTGCCCAAATGGAGTGGGGCAGGCAGCCTGTGGCCGGCTTTTCCTTGAGGTCAGCCACAAGAGTAAGCAGTTTTGCTGTTGGTGCAGTTGGAGGTAGACGACCCAAGCCTCAACCCCAGGAGATACGGTGCCATTGGTACATTTGATTTTCTAATGCAAACTAGTTCATTCCCCGCTTGGTTTATTTAAAGTTACTTCTAGATTTTTGAAGTTTCTAACTGGTAGTTTTCAGAAGTCTTATGCATCTCGTTCAGGTTTGTAAGCAATCAGATGAAATGGGAAATTAGAAAATGCTGAATTTCTCTCCTTTATCTGGTTCTGGAGAAATTTAGAAGCTTTCCTATGTACATATAAGTGCATCCTACCCAAAGTTCCCCATAGTTGACAAAAACTCACTCCCTGTCAAGTATGTAGCAAAGTGGTTTCATATACATGGAAAGATGAAAGAAGGCCATGGGAATGTAATCTTTAATAAATAATTGATTCATCTCCAAACTGCAGTCTGAGAATGGCCAAAATTGTTTGCTTCTTTTTGTCAGGTATGGTCCCTAATTTAAATTTTAGAAAGTGGTGAAAAATACGAAGAGAACAAAATCTATAATTGCCAACATTTCTTCAATTTCTTCTAAGCTTTTTCTTTCAGAATACATTTTGATCTACAGCAGAAAAAGGTTTTTCAGGTTTTTCTTTAAAGGAAAAAGGGAGCAAAGTCAAATGAAGTTCTAAATATTTTATTCTTAAGCTTGCCAAACAGAAAGATCACATTCATGCAGTTCTGTTTACTTGGCTTGCTGGCTGCTCCATCATTTGTGACACAGGAAATCAGTTCCAAATCCGGGACCTCTTTTTTCCATAGCATTTGACTGTTGTGGATCTCTGAAACCCTACTGCCCATACCTCAAAGAGTTGTTTTCACCTGTGTTCTAAACGATAATTAAATAGTAGAATCAAGGGAACGTGACAAGGCAGCACTGACCTTTCCTGAATTTGAGTGCAACTCATTCAAGTATCTGGGTGGGCTATGAGAATAACATGTCTATCCCACCCATCCTGTCCTATAATCAGTTGTATTTTTTCCCCAGAAAACATGACAGACATCTTACATGAATAAATCCATTTTATTTAAATAAAATTACAGGCATATCTTGTATATTATAAACTATCATATAGTTTTTCAAAGGCACTGATATTTAACAATAATTTAAATTTTCTTGAGAGCAGCTACCTTTTTCTGAGTGGCTTCTGTAAACTTGTCAGACTTCCCTTCACTTATTGAACTCAAGAAAAATCTGTTGCTAGTGAAATGCCAAAGATTGTAACTTTTTCATCACAATAGGCACTTTACTGTTCCTGGGCATCTCTTTTGAACAATATTTGAGATTAACAAGTCTGGTGTTCTGTGTAGCAAAAAACCACTCTGAAACAGGGCGTTTCTTTCCTTTGTGGCACCAAAAATACATCAGGCACGAACCCACACTATGACATTCACTCTGCATGTACTGCAAATATTAAAAGTTAAATCCAAGAGACTACTGTTTCTTCAAGGCTTCAGGATCTGTTTTTCCTTTAGTCTTAACAATGCAATGTCACCTACTCTTACGTGAAGGGCGAGTTTTGGTAAGAAGCCTGCCCTACAGCTCTGTGTCACAGACTGAATTAGCCTCCCGACTGGGCATCTTTGAAGGCATCTTTGCTAAGCGTGGTTGCACCAAAACCAAGAGATATATCTGATGAGTTATTTGTCCAGCTCTCTTATCTTTTACAGGACATTCACAGCAGGGAGACAGAGGGAGATACAGGTGATACCTCTCAGCAGGCTGAGTCCTGCTGGGGGTTTCTCCCAAGAAAATGTACAGACCCACAGCTGCTGCTGGGCTGATGCCTGGGTGTAGGTAAGGACAGAGCCAGAGCTACCAGGCTGAAGTGGTCACAGGAGAAAGCGTGGCAGGCTGCCACATGTTCAAGTACTGGTACTTTTTGCTTCTGAAAAAGCTTTTTTTAAAGAAAATAAAAAATAAAAAGGAGAGTTTGCTAAGCACCCTTCCACAGTCACAGCTCACTCAATTTATTGAATCACATGAGGCTCACTTCATCAACTGGTTTTGGCTTATCAATACAGACTTCTGTAATCCTCGATTTCTCTTCTCTACATAACCATCGTCTTCAGTGCCCAGTGCTGCAGAAGATTTGTACCCCAACCATGCTAACAGGAAAAAAATCTGCCCTTAGAAAAAATCCCAGCAATTTAGAGACAAAAGTGATGTGGCACAACGAAGGTAAGGTTGTAGCTGGGTGTAACAACACACTGCATTTGGCCAACGTATCCCTGCTGCAATTAACAGGCAAGCTCCTCAGCAAAACCATTGATCTTCCTTCTGGCTCATGCTAACAAAAGATCTGATTTTCATGGAACCACAGTAATGAAACTCAAGCCTTGGATTTGCAGAGCGGAGTAAATATCAAATAATTCACAGTGAGACCACTGTAAAGGTGAGAAATGAAGCTACAAAAATGCCGTACCAGTACTTCTCTTACAAGAATGTCTGGAGACAGGTTTCATTAAAGTGTGCCAAAATCTCCAAGAGATTCTCTTCAGAGAAAGGCATTGAAGAAGAGCAAATGATTATTCAGAAAAGCACAAATCTTTGGCTAGCAATCTGCACTTTCCCATTTTACATTTGTAAACATAGAAGCATCTGTGAGCCAACTATTCTTGCATTCCCAAGTAGATTCATCTGGATAATCTGACACCTGGTTACACGATACTTGACAAAGATCTAAAATAATTGTAAAAAATTACCAGCTGAAGTCTTCTAAGAAGACACATGAAAGCTCAGTCAGTTTATCTCGCTTTTCTACCTGCTTAGGTTATCCCTCTTGTTTAGAGATACAGCACCTCAATATTTGTACAGTATTAAGTATAGTTTGTTAAAAAAGCAGTGAAGAAACTTGTATTGTTGCTGTCTATGAGAAACAAAGTACTTTCTGAAGATCTCCTTTAGAAAAATCAGCCTCACTGATTTTGAAAAGCATTGATAAGCCTGGGAGTCTAAAATTCAGCGTTAACAGCATGTGCAGCTCAGGTGCTCCTTGGAAAAGAGAAGGTAAAAGGTGGCTCCTAAAAATTTGGTGAATGTGTATCTTGCATTGAAGGTGAGACAGCTTTAGAATAAGTCTTTTTTTTTTTTTTTCCCCTGAGTCCTGGTTTCCCTTGAGCTACAAACTATTTTATTACCCATCTTTTTGCGCAATCAGCTTACTGCAATTAGTAATTTCATGCTGTTTATTTTTCTTGTTCAAACTGAAAAAATAAAAGGGAAACTCAGAAGCAGAGGGACCAGATCCTACAACACTTTTTCATCTACCAGAGTCCAGCTCTGCATTTGCTCAGGAGTATCTGGAAATATTTGAACAATAGAAGAAACTTCTGTAGTACAAAACCTGATGAACTGGCACTATTTGAACAGCATTTGTCATCCTGAACTAGCCTGCTTCTGAAAATAATTAGAAAATCAGATGAGCACCTTACCACTGATCACCCCATGGCTCCCCGCATGCATCCCACGCTCAGTCCTTGGGAAAGCAGAGCATAGGTGCTGCTGTGCCACAAGCTGCCCGTGGCAGTCTTTTGAAAGATATATTTAGAGCCAGAGCAATGCTTTGGAAGTCTGCCCTTTAGGAGCAACGTCCTTATATACAACATCATTTTCTGATGCCTTTTTGCCACGTGTCTGTTATTTCCCTTTTGCGGAGGTTGGAGCTCATTCCAAGAGACATGGAGTACTGGGGAGAGCACCCTGCTTTTCACCAGATCAAGACTTCAGTTTTGGTAGAGAAAATAAATACAATTAAAAGCAACATTTAAAAAAAAAAAAATTGCTCTCTGCTGTGCGTAGCTGGCCATAGAGATACCATGAAGGCAAAACCTGCCCTGCCACAGCTCACCGTGCTCCACTTATGGGCGCCACACATGGAAAAGGATGTAAATCCATCTCATCCTGCCTACAGATCAGCATTACCTGCTCCTGACTCCCAGGTGCCAGGTTCAGTCACGTGTCTGCTATGAATCCTGCAGAAATCCACCAAATTCCACCAAAGGAAAGGAAATAACTTCGGGAAAGAAACTGGCTTTGCCCCTCTGGACACCCCTCAGCTTTTCTGGTAGAGAACTTGCTCCAGGCAGTGGCAGAAAGCAGAGTCACTTCACTGACTTTCAAAGCCAAATGATAGCAAAGAGGTGGGGCTATCTAGGTGGCGGAATGAATAGCTGCAGTGGTTTCTCATCATCATACACCTCTTTGGTCCTCCCACCAAGGTTTGTAGTGTCTCTGTGGGAGTGAACACATCACACCTTCTTCAATGAAAGGCTGAACGCTTTGCAGTCTTTGCAGTTCCTTCCATTTAACATAAAGCCACAAGCAGAGACGTGAAGGTGTTATACAAGACAACTGCAAGACTCTGGTCTTTTTACCTTGTTCTACTGTTTTCCAGGTCTGCAAAGTTATTTATGTAGGGTTACTTGCAGGGCAACACACACACTTCTTTGGATACCTTAATTATGGGAACTTAACAGACCCATTCAGCAGCAGCTGGAAAACATTTTGCTTAGCTTTTAATTGGGCAGACATACAGACTTCATTATGCCACCTCATCCAGTCCAAGTCTGTCTGGTTTTCTCTAAAACGTGTGGTAAGTGAGGTACTAGTGCAACCACTGCAAATCGATACCAAGCTTACCCTCTGCAGATGAAGATGGAACTGTGTAGATGTAGACAGTACTTGGGGAATGACGTTTGCATAAAAAGTTGTAGTAATGAATTAATAAGATGGCAAGCAAATCTAGAAATGAGGTATCAGTTAGCCTAATGGTAGAGCGGATAAACTAGTCAAGCCACATTCATACTAAATTTCATCTTCTGATTCCTGATCTCGTTCAGATGTTTTCAGTAATCCCATTTCCAAGTTCTGGGACTGCTTAGCCTTCAAACGAACTGCCCTGGAAAAAACAACACAAAAATAAAGAGTTGTCAATAGTAACTCAAAGGCTCTTCTGGTCATTTTTACATAGTAAAAAACTGTTGAACTCTCACGTCTCCTCGGGGAATTGGGTTGATCGATTTATGAAGACTTGATGGGGGCTGCTGTGGAAGACATCATAAAGAGGAAACAGTGATTTCAAGCAGAATCTGGGCAGAATTTAACCCCAGGCCTTAATTGTGTTTTACATGAGTGAACACTATACAATGTGAGCAGGTACCGTGATACTAGTACACAGAGTCACATGCCACCTTTAACAATATGACCTGTACATAGCACTTGTAAGAGCTTGATCCTACGGACACATCTAAGAGTATACACCTTAAGCAAATCTCAGGGTAACATCTGGACAGTTCAGTGCTGCACAGGTACAAGACCAATAGCTGTGTTCAGCTGGAAGGCTGCTATAAAGCTGTGAAGAAGAGTGAGCCTGGCCAGCCTCCCTGAGCAGGGGCACTCTGTGCAGCATGCTGTGACCAACTTGAGAGCCTCGTCTGATGCTGCAGCATCAAAAAGGATGTAAGATTGCTGTCGCCTTCTCTGTAGCTGCCACCCTTTACACAGCAAACCAGTCACATGGCCTTGAGTATCGGTGACTTTTGGACTGAGAACTAAAAAGACATGTCAGCTCCTCAGTGCGAAGCAAGGCCACAAGAATTGCATGTGGCCAAAGTGTGATTAAATAGGGCTATCAGAATGGTAGAGGTAAAGCAAGAGGTGAGAAGTGTATTTAGGACAGTGCAGGCAAAGGTTTGGTAAGGTCTTGCAGGCAGGCAGTGATCACACATGGCAGAATCAGACTCATTTTTCAACCAAGTTAAGATTCCACAGTTGGAATTTTCTCAGAATTAGTACTGAGTGGCAAGGAAAAGTGCTGACTTAGGAAATTAGGCAATGAAACTGGTTAGTGAAAAAGAAAACGGGTCTATTCACAGGCAATTGCTACTGATGAAATCTGTCCAATAGTCTTCAAAGTTAAGTCATGAAGTCTGCTGACTAAGCCACTTGGAGTTAGTAGAGATGAGCACTGGGAGAGAAGATGTTGTAGGAAAAAAAAAAAGTTCTCTCCTCCTTGTAACTTTTTATTTACTTATAAATGTGGAAGACTATTAGAAAAGCTCCTTTTATATGAGAAGCATTATGCTGTCAGAGCTATATTTTATGAATGGTTTTCCCCTCTCTTCTTGAAGCAATGAGTCATGTTGTCCTCATTGATTAACAATATCTATTTTTATTTTACTTTGCAAGACAACTAATTACTTTGTGGGATCCTTTTGATCTGTCAGTGAAACTTTTCTAAAATAAAGCTCCTGCTAGAATAAATAAGGAGGTCTCTAAAGTCTCAGTGTTTCGAGTAACTTACCAGCTGACAATTGTGTAATTCGCTGCAAGTATAAGTAAAGCAAAGGCATAATGCCAGCAATAGCACATGGTCAGGAACATCATATTAGTATGATCTGTCTCATTCCACTCTGGGCTTCCATTTGGAGGATAAAGAACAAAGCCAATCTGTAACGAAATAAAAGGTATTTAGCAAGCACCATTTGACATATATCCTATGCCATAGCATGTATCATGCTACTCATCACAAGGCAGATATTTCATTTTCTTATAGTGCTGATTATTCCTGTGATTATTATTAAAAGCAGTCATGCAGTTGCACTCTAATGCAATGGATCATTTTACACAGTTTAGTGCAGAAATGCCTTTGAAGTTGCAGAGACAGCCCCAGAGACTCCCTGCTATTGCTCAGCGAATTAAGGACCCAGTCCAACAAGCCCTACAGCAACCACAATTGCATACGGTAAGGAAAGGGGCTGCTGATCAGCCACGTATACTCTAAACCTCAAGCACATCACCAACCAGCAAACTTGCACTGACTCACTTCTTCCTAACAGTGTTTGGGAATGTGTTACATGGTTCGGAAGACAAATCATAATTTAATAAATAAAGGCAAGCTGTTAAGTCTATTTCTTCAGGGTCATCTGGGGAAAAGGTCGGGTTTTGAAATTCCCTAAAAATGGAGCTTTCTCACTCAAGGCTATAAGTTTTTGTGAAATACCTAGCTGATTTGCTTATTCAGAGCTGGGAAAGATCAAATTCAGATTAATGCGTAAACTGGGAAACTAGCAATCCCGTGGCTACACAGGGGCATGCATGACAAGCACTGGTCCTCTACACTGCCTAAAACTCCTCAAAGTCACAGATCAGCAGTTTAGCTGAGAATTTAGGAGCTGGGAAGAGAAGAGAGAGAGGAGGGGGGGAGAAGTGAATCTTGCATTTTCTTGCAGAGAATTCAATGAATGAGGGTGTTGATGATGCAGAAAGAAAGTCCCTTTACCTTGTACAAATCTGTCATGCTGCGGCCAGTATGTGGTATTCAGTCACACATAGAGTTGAAGTCTGATGTGGATGTGAAAAAAGCTACACTTAAATCTCTTGTATTTCTAGTTTTTTTCAATTTTTTACTTTGAAACAAAAACCACATTGTCTCCAGAGCTAAAGAAATAAATTGTTCTAAAATTAGACTAGGCAGACAACAAAGAATAAGTGGCTGCATCTAATTCCTGTTATGTAAAGCTTATTAAATCACCCAAGAAAAGTTTACAAACGAGAAAACAAAACACGAAGTGCTGCAACACCAGATTCTTGAGTTCACTTATAGAAAGATACTGCTGTTTCAGAGGTCTGTCTTCTTGCCAGAGCAAGTATTTATACATTTGGTTTGGTGCTGAGTGTCCAGTTCTCCTAAGGAATAGCAAACCTTTTTATTAATCGTGTCTGGCCAGCATATAAAAAAGGAAAGCCAGTCTAGACATGCTGGAAAGAAAAATCACTGGAATGACCTCAATTCTCCACTATAAAATGAAATACACATCGGCACTAGTGCTCATATTTCTTTGTTACAAGACAGCAGCAATTCTCTTTCATTTGACAGTGGAGAAAGGGTCATTGTCAAATATCTATTAACGGGATAGAATCATAGGTAAGTGAACAAATGGCAGCTACATTTGAAAGACTTCATTTGGGAGCCACATCCCTGAAATACAGGAGTTTAGGCTGTTAGTTCAGCTCAATTTCCCAAACACTGGAAAAGCAAGAGGCTCTCTGTCTGCCACTCTCTTAATACGAATTTTAAATCTAGGATGCCACTGCTGAAATGCTTTTTAAAAAGCAGAAAAAGGCAGCTGACACGAAAGAAAATTTGCAACTTCATTCCTCTTTGTGAAACGTCAATGGGTGCTTTGCCTCACCTGTGCCACACACGCCGCTGGGCATTTACTCACTGCTCTGGCAGCTGACAGCAGGGACTGTTCTTGTAAAGAACAGCACGTATTGCCGGGCTGTAAAACCACGGCCATTTGGCTGGCAAATTTTGAACAGGATGTTACAGAGACCAGAGGGATTGTTCAGTCGCAGGGGAGAGCTCAGGAAAACCACCTTAGCTTTTTGATTGATTCGAAGGAAAGAAAGTAGAAGTAAAATGGCTTCTTTGTCTGTAAAACAGCTACAATAAATACTTTCATCTCTTTAAATGGACATTAAGTGTGCATTGTTTTCTATGAGTCCTGTGAGATTTGTGTTTGGAAGGCATATTTTATCACCTGTGAAATAACTGCAAAGGTGTAAATGTAGGAAGAAATTCGTAAGGTAGAACAGTGGCCTACCTGCCAGAACCAGCTGCCTTGTAATATACAGAGGCTTGTACGGAGCATCTCTAGCACAATACTGCCACGGAAGAAGACTTCCAGAAATATGCAAACAGCAGCTCCAAATATAGCAAATAGCAATAACTGATGAACATGAACATCCAGCATGGCTCTCCCATGAAGATGGTAGCAAAAGAGAAAACCTGGAACAAATTAAGTGATCAGTTTAAGATGTTTTCTTCCCTTGTAATCTCCCCACATCTGCTTTTAGAAAACAGCAAACCTTTAGCATTTCTCTTCATGCCAATATCACCTTCTCGGTTGAACTGAGAGAAATTTTTTAAGGCTGATGCCTACATACTGTGTTCTCCCACTCTTGAGCTCAGACCAAGAAATCCCATGGGAAGCTTCAGCTCTGCCACCTTTACTTTAAAACATGTTAACAAGTCTCATTCATATGTCTGCAGTGTAACAAGAGGGATGCGATAGGATACACTGTGCATACAGAAAACATAACTTGAGTGTATCTCCAGTGCAATTCCAACATGCAATTGCTGTGCAGGAATGTGCTTACACTGGCTTTAGCTACAAGTTGCGTATCGTGTCAGTACATACAGAGAAGCACATACTCAGGCTACAGAGCATTGTGCTTGTGCTCCTATCTTCATAACATTTCTGCTGCTGTCTGAACCAGTTAGGACAGCACAAATCACACATCTACAATGTGTGATCATGTTCTGGGCTGCAGTGAAGAAGGCCAAGACTGACCTTTTTTAAGCATTTCAGGGAGTTCAACACCCAGGTCCTGCTCTCCAAGGCTAATTCGTGATTCCCAGACCAAAGACTGATACCCCTCTGCAACTTTCACAGAGGTAAACTGACCTTCGATAAACACTGCTAAGGAAAGCATCATCCTGTCCATGGCCACTGGCAATGTGTTGGTCCCATGAGCCACGATGTCAACCAACCCTGAAATGCCATAGAAGAGGTACATGGTGGCGTGCTGCCAGTTCATCAAGTGATCCCAGTGCTTTTCCTCGTAATTATACAACTTCAGATGAGGTCCATCAGGAACAAACTGCTCGGCCACCATTCCTGTATGTGAAACAAGAAATATTTGTCCTGGTGCTTAAGGTATAGGCTGATCATAAGCTTTTATATAAGCAACAGAGGCAACAATATATCCCCGACAGGCAAGCACAATACCCGTCAATTTGGGGTTTAGTCAGGCTGCCTGAGGATTGCTCTGGGTGATGCTGTGCTTTGCTTCCTTCCGCTCAGTTCTGCCATTCCCAAAAAAGTTTGTAACATGATGTTGAAATTCAAGTGCAAATGCACAGAGGCCTCAAAGATGTTAATTTTACACAAATTTTCAAGAAAATAGGCAGTGGGAGGACAGATAAAATGAGTTGCTTTCCTGAGAGAAAGACTGTGGATTGAGCGCAAGCATATATTAAGCATCACATAATCTGGAGAGGATAAGGCTAGAGGAAGTCAGGCTTCAGCTCCACTCCTAGTGGGACTGTTTGCATCTTGCAGTTTCCAGCAGTGAAAATGGAGACAGCTATTCTCTCCTGCTTTTTTTTTTTTAAACAATTGTTATTGTAGTAGTCCTCTGGCTGAATTTTTCAGCTGTCTTTCCCAGCAGTTCAAACATGAGTATAAGACATGTTAAAGCTCCCAAAAGAAAGATTTACCGTTTCAGTTTCCTGCAATGTGCAGGATGGCAGAGTTCAGACTCTTAATTCAAAAGGAATTTCTCCTATAAAGCCATAAAAAAATCCCTCCACCGTGCAGAGTTATTAAAGGTCCCACGAGAATATATACCGAGTTACTACTTGAACTGCTGTTCCACTGCCTCCCTTACCTTGGCCCCTCCATGTCTTGCTAACTAGCTGCACTACTCCAGCAGCGGGAAAGCTGCTTTGAGATACTTTATTTGATCAATTAAGTTTGGAAAGAGAGGTAAAATATGTTATGCTTTTAAAATGCTAATGTTAATTATATTGTTTACGAAGTGTGGGCCAACATCCTGCTGTATACGTAGATATGCTGCAGAGCAAATGCAGTGGTTTTCCACCTTTATTTCAAGTTTTCCTAGCAGAAACAGCCGGTTTTACTCCTTTGGCTGCTTCTATTCTTTGTCATTGCCAGGTTTTCTTGTCCATATTTTTGACTCAAAATTACCATATGTTAAAATAATGGCTTTTTGTCTCAGGGGGACAATAAAAACACTAGATGAGTGTTTTAGCTGCCCTCTAGACACTGATTGGAAGATTTCTGGGAAAGACATCCCCCCACTCACACCTCAAAATGAACATTCTTAAGCATATACTGTACACACAACATCACATCAGTGCTGGTGTCTCTTGACCAGTACAAATCTCAGAAGGGAACAAAAACCAAGAACAAGATTTTGGCTCAGCTTGCACCTTGATTACAAACCGGGCAACTCTTAACATCTGAAGAAAAGTAGGTAAAATCTAAAAATATAAAAAATTAAGATGCTTTTCAACTGGAGAGCCACATGTGCTCCCCAGGTCCCTTGTTGTTTAGGTAACTTACTTACTCTATAAAGGTAAATTGCTAACATGCAGCCTGCTGGAATGTAAACAAGAACTCAGCACTTCCAGTCAGCTACACAGCTCACAAAACCATCCCCGTGGGTTTGTACTCAGGCCAGTCCATAACAGAAGCAGAAAGAGCACCTCCCCTACTCCCCATCCTGTTGTAACGGTCCTGCAGCAATAAGATCTAGGTTTCAGTCTTTGTGAAAATTTTCACTTTTGAATGACGTTAATGAAGAAGCATCTGCACTTACATATTTTGTCAATAACCTATTGGAGACTGCCAACATCTGGGATGTCTGAATCCAAAACAGAACAGCAGTGCTGTGTAGCCTGATGCTCCCAGCGTGCATGTGAGAGTCCCTTGTCTAAATATCTTAACTCCTTCCCCAGAGCACCGTATGAACATTCAGATGCTCCTATCACACCAGCTGTAAAGTAGTCAGGACACCCTAAAGAAGCTCCAGAAGAGCGCTATGGATGGAATCCCTGTTACAGTCCTATGCAATTATTAGCAGTGTTCTCACTAGTTCTTAATACATAGTGTCTAAAGGACAAAATACCAAAACACAATGAGGTATGTTTTATCAAAGAACAAAATAAATTAAAAAGTGTTAAAAGGCACAGTCTTTTTGTTGCCAGCCCCAAATCCCCATTGCTTACCAATCAAGGCAAAGACAGCTTTGATGATCCCCTCAACAAACTCCAGGCGTTGAAATCCTGCCCTGGAACCAAAGTAGCAAGCATTCTTGTTTTTTCGACAGGCATACTTCAGTGGATACTTCACTGACCACCAGAAGCCAAAAAGAAGGAAAAAGCTTCCAGGGAGGGCATGCCCTTTGAAATTGCCCATGTTTTTCTGCTAGGCTTTACCTGGAAGGGAAACAAATGCAGATCGATTATGAGAATAGTAGGAGAACTCTGTGGGTTATAATTTTAATGTATCTCCTTGCACAGATCAAAAGGATATCACTGAATTCAGTACTCATGCTTTATTTAAAAATAAATCTGGGTACTTTTCTTCCCTGGCTGTTCAAAATGCCCAGCCAGTCTCCCCAGGTTTATAGCTTTGCAGAAGAGTAAGAGACCCAACTGCAAAGCAGCTGACCTGAAATGCAGAGCTGGCAATTGGCAAATTAAGAGGAAAAAAAAGCCGTGACAGCACACTGTGTCATGCTGTTGAAGTTGTACTAGCAAAAGACAGAAAATAAATACTCACTATTTGTTTCTTTCACCTCTAGAGAGGGTTTTATGTTTCTTTACTCCACAAAAAATGCCCACGAAACAGGGCAATGCCTAACTGAAGGAAAAAAAAAGTATACGGATCTGATGGGTAATAAAATAATATATATAATTGTATTTTGTATTTCAACCTGGATGTCTCATTATGATTTACAAACATTAAGTAATTTTCAGTATTTGATAGCTGCACCCACAACTAGATACATACTATGAAGGACATCGAGTGCATTGAGTGATAAGTGCTGGTCCATGCCACACAGACATTTAAACGCAGTGCCATTAATTAAAACGTCTGCTTGTCATCCCAACTTTTAGGAGGGTTAACTTAGCTCCAATAGTTTCTTCATTAAAATGACAGCTCTAATTAATTTGCCATTTTCTTTCAGTTATCACACAGAATCACAGAATGTTTGGGGTTGGAAGGGACCCTGAAAGATTATCTAGTCCAGCTCCCCTGCCAGAGCAGGATCACTTAGAGTAGTTATCATAAACTGAGTTGTTGTGCATTGTGACCTAAGGGCATACTAAACCTTTGCACAGGCAACAATCAAGAATAACCACTTCAGAAGCATTTGCAATCTATGCTTTCTGTTATTATTGTTGCAAACAAAAATCCAATCACCACACTACGCTGGAGCCATCTGTTCATGAATAGAACATGGAGACTCTGGTATATTTTTCTTTCCAGTAAGTATTCGCTATGGTCAGCTCTGCATAAGAAGTTTTGAACTGCGGCTTGTGGGCTATGGAGTACTTGCAGATGGTTCACGTAATGATGTCTAGTCACGTAGTGTGAGGCCTCTCCTATTTCTGGAGGCTAAACTCCACTGAAAGCATTAATTTTTTTTAAGAAGAGAATTTTTTCCACATGCACAGGTTCTAAAGCTGCCATACAACTATTACCCAACTGCATGAGAAGAGGTGACCTATGTAGCCACAAAGGAGAAGAAAAAAACCATGTGTAGCACAAGGCAGCCTGGGATTTAAACAGGGAAGCTGAAGAGGGTCCTGCCCTCACTGCCTGTCCTCCCCTCTTCCAGAGCTGATTTCTTCCACTGGAAATGCTACAGAAGGGAAAGGGTGAGCTTTAAAAACTTGCCCTGGACAAAATTCCCATTAGCTGATTTCTGGCGAAGTGTTACCAAAGTACAAGAAAAGGGAAATGTGGCACTGGTTGCCCAAGCAAACCCATTTCTGGATGTGTTCTCGTGGGTATTGCCAGTGCTGGTATCTGCATATCAAAGTCTGGGAGGAAAACTTGCGGAGATGGCTGCCCCAAGCCTGGGGAAGGCAGCGCCTGTCAGCCATGGGGCAGCCAGAGCGGGGGTGAGAAGCGTGTTTACATATTCTTACAACATGTAAAGGACTCCATTTGGGATTTCTGCTGTGTCGGGAAGGGCTCCTGCCCATCTCCACCAAGAAGAAAAGCAACGGTGCCATGCCCAGAGCTGTTGTGGGGGGCTCAGATCAAAGCAAAAAAGCCGTGAGGAGTGAGTGGTGGTAGACCCGTCCAGCGTCTCTCAGCCCAGGAACCCCAGCCACCAGGGCAGTGATGACCACGTCCATCTCCTCTCACAAAATGCTGAAATAACCTCTAAACCTCCCTGGGCCTGAGTACATGTTAGCGGTGCCGAATCAGCTGACTCGGTGCCGATCAGTTGAGCATCGTCCATCCTGGCCCAGGTGTGCTCAGCAGGGCAGGAGAAGGAGGTGGCAGCCGAGGGTCTAGGAGTCAGGACAGCCTTCCTCTGCCTCCTCTGCCTCCCGCATCACCTTTAAAGTCCCGCTAGGTTGATGCCTGTGTGTTTTATGTGTAGGTGGAGATAGTACTGCTCACACTCAAGCAGCCGACAGCGCATTCGGTCTCTCGGTGATGCAGTTGGGGGCCTCAGCCCCACAAGTTAGAGGTCTCACAAAAGAGATACCTCATTTCAGGCTATCTTTAGTTCAAAGAGTCTGACCAGCTTGTGCATCACTGCCGGTAATCACTGTGCCATTGTTTGCCTCAAAAAAGGGCAGTACTAACAGGCGCTGACGTTTTAGACTTTGCTTTAAACTTTTGAAATATTACTTTTGTTTTGAAAGCTTTAATTTCCTGTTCTTCTAAAACTTGCCAGCCCACAACGTATCTTTTCAGATACGTTGGGTATTTTCCTTCTTTGAACAAAAGGAAGAGAGGAAGAGAGGGGAGTGGCCTTTCCCCACCATGTCTGATCTCACCGAACACTATCAATTAGACTTTATTCATGAGATTTTTTTATTATTCAACACAGGCATATAGTACTGCAAATGGAAAGATTTAGCCTGTATCCCACATCAAAGCGAGGTACTGGATTAAAAAGTAAATAGAGCCTATAAAAGCCTCCCTCTAGGAGAGTACAGTTGCAGTAAGAAGCAAATGAAAAACAATGTGTTAATGTCATTTGCAGTGCATAGTATACAAAACTTCAAAAGTAATTCTCAATCTGTAAATTCACACATGGGTTATCTAGAACTCTAGACAATACAAGATTTTTCTGCCCTGAATCTGGGTGGTCCATCAAAATACTCTGTTTAAAACTTTTTTTTGCCCTTCAAAACAAGGGAAGAGAAGAAAAGGAAAAAGACTGATACAGCAGCTACTGTTGAATATCCAATATAAACAGAACAGAACCAGAAAATTTGGTTTTTTGCTATAAGCAACACAGTGACGTATTATTAGCTTTAGAGAGTGCAAACTTCTGTTTTAATTAATCCAGAAATGTTGGGTATTATTTGTAGGATTTCTCTAGAAAGGGACGTATTGGATCTGCCAACCAGCTGTTGTGGCAAACCATTGGAACACTGAATCTCAACAGTCGGCTTCAGAAAGGAATTAAATTAATCATATATTAAATCCCTAATAAACTTGAAAACATCATGACAGACTAGATGATCTCTAAGGTCCCTTCCAGCCTATGCTATACTATGATTCTATGATTCTATGAGAGAGCTTACCTTAAACTGATTAAACTTCCCAAGGCATTAATATTCTCTTATCAGGCCTGAGATTTTGTTTTAGTGAGGTCAGAGGACAACTATCACCACCCACTGAGTTTTGCCTATGAGTAAACCTAAACCAGCTGATATCCCATAGTTTAGGTGATTAGTATGACACTGAGGAAACAGTGAGGATAAGTCAAACCTCTCCTGCAGGAAGATCGCTGTGGTGTAAGGGGTTGGATCTAGAAGATGTGAGGCAGGCGTGCAATGAGAGATGAAAGGAGAGGAAGCCAGGATGTCAGGCTGCTGCCTTTCCACGCTATGCTTTGGCAGCCCCCTGTGCAGCCCAGGACAAAAGAGCTCCTCCAGCTTTTCTACGTGGTTTGGGAGCCAGCCAGTCTTGGTATGTCAAGTGCTATTTATTGGATAAAGATGGCATCAGCATGTTATGGCAATACATAATAAATTTGAGGGTTTATTTTTTACAGAGCCTCATTCCATAAGCTAGCAAACAAATTACTGGAGGACTGGTAGTGCAAGATATGCAAAATTCAGACCCTCTTTTATCCTCAGTGATTTCAGGGCCAGAGGTGCTGGCAGACCCACCACCACATTCTTGGCAGCAAACCTTCCTTGCTGCCCAGCACCTTTCCTAGAGTGCATCATCTGCCAGAGATGCAAGCAGAGAAAATCCTGAGGCTGCCCCACAGCTGGGTGCCATGAGGTCTGGGCTTGGCCGTGTGGAGTCTGCCCACAGTCCCTCCGCTGCTCCCATAGCCACACAGTCACACCAGGTCCTTCACACCTTCCTGCTGCTGGTGACCTGCTTGCATAAACTCGACCCTGTCCAAATTCTGCTCCTAACCCCACTAGGCAAAGCCATTGGTGCTGGTGCCTATAGGAGGCAGGCAGACAGCCAGCATCACCTAGCCATAGCCCTTACCGTGGACAACAGGGTTTGGCTTTCCAGCAAGGGTACGCAGAGACCCTGACCATTGTTGCTCAGATTGCCCCTGCTACCTGCTGTGTGTGCCCTCAGGATCCTTGCAGGCTCACTCAGCTTTTTGTGTCTCTGTCATGAAGCCTCACTGCCCAGGAGCCTTCCACAGCCAGCAGCCATGAGGTCACAGCAACCAGGGCACCAGTAAAGCAAATTTTGGACTGTGGCAATGAAAATGTTGGGCTCTCTCTAGGAGAAGCTCCCTCCCCTACCGACTGGTAGGGCTGCCACCCTGATGAGCTTGCCTGGGAACCAGCAGACAAGATGCATCGTTGAGCACAGATCTGAGCTTTCCATAGCAAGTACTCCTCAAAAACCTGCTCTCGGGAGGGTGTGGAACATGCCAGAATGGGAGGCTGCTATCAAGGTTTGAAGGTACCCATGGGCCTTCATTACCTCAACCAGCCACACCCAAGGAGCCCACCCCAGCACTACCACCCAGGGGTTGGGGTGGGAATGGAAGGCACGAGCAAATGCAGTTTCCAAATGAGGGTTCAAGGAAAGATGTGCATTTTTGTGGATGTTAAAAGCTGCCTTTTTAGCCTTACTCATCCTGACAGAAGAAGGAAAGGCAGGTAAGAAACAGACTTATGTAATTGATTTAAACATCTCGATTTCTCAGGAGGGATGTTTTGTAAAATTGGATTGATTTCTGATCTCTTGAGGATAC